AGGTCAATGTGGGGAGGGCTGAGGTCACAGTGTCCCCTAATGAATGGAGCCAGGCACTGAGGACCACACCATGGGAGGGACAAGAGTGAGATCACTTGGGCCCAGGTTGCCCGGGAGACCAGGATGCCCAAGGGGGCCTGAACCTCGGTTCTGCCAAGGTTACTTACTCAAGGGGCTTCCTCCCCTAGGACGCTCCTGCCTGTCACCAGAGCAGCTCCCGTCCTCCATGGGTCCTCCAGGCTCCGTGGGAGACAGGAAGGCAGAGAGGGGGGGCAGCTCTGCTGTCCCTGGAAAAGAAAAGAGGGACAGTTCCCCAGGAGTGGAAGCTGACCTCCGCCCTCCTACACACAATCACGCAGGTGGCCCAGGCTCCTGCAAATCCTGTGTGTGTGTGTGTGTGTGTGTGTGTGTCACGTGACCATCCAAACCCCAAGGACTGTCAGAACCTCACAGACCAGTGCTCAGTTCTGCCAGTTTTTTAAAGCCCCCACCAAATCATATCCAGAATCCTGGGACAGTTCACAGAAGCCACAGCACAAAAGGTGAGCGAGGCCCCCAGCTCAGCCCAAGGTTCTTGGATGGCCACTCAAAGGATGCTTACTTTGTAAATGAAGATGGGTGTGTCAGGCCCTAGGGTCACAGGGTTACCCAGGACGCGCATGGTGCTGGATGCGGCCTCCCTTCTACCATCGGCCCAGCTCCTGCCTGCTCTTTACCCAGGGAGATCCTTACCCAGGGAGACCAGTGTCTCATAGTTTTCCTGCATCACGTCCAGGAAAAGTGCCCTCTGCTTCTCCCCCAGCAGCCGCCACTCATCCTCGGAGAACCGCACGGCCAGGTCCTGGAAGGCGACGGGCACCTGTGGGCACAATCCCAGGGGATTTGGCTGGTTCCCTCCCGGCGAGGCCAGCCTACCTGTCCCCAGCTGAGGGACCCAGCCCACATCTCCAGGTGTGTCCCGGGAGAATCATCCTTCACTTCTCTGATCTGGGAGCCTGTTACACTGTTTTTTGGTTTCACAGAGAAGGGCTCAGAAGAAACCTGGGGTCACCCTAGCAGAGCATCCCCTGCTACCTTACAGCTTTGCGAGAGAAAAGAAACATTCTGTCCTAATTTCTTTAAAAAGTTATTAAGTGGGCTTTACGTGGCCATCAGACCCTAAAAGATAATCAGTATCTGGTAGGCATGAATTTAAAATTATAGTAAAAATTAACTTTGTGCACATTAGGCAGACAGAATATAAATTATGGGAAGGGTCCTTCGGGTTTAGAAACAAACGCTAACTATTTATCTGTAAGAAAAAACTGTTAAATAAAATGAAGATATTCCTGATAATGTAAAAATCTACTGCCTTGTTTCATCAACTTTAGTCAATGACTTTAAGAACCGTCGCTGCTACCAACTCGCAGCCTTGTCACCGATGGCACCTGCCCCCGCTCTGCCTGTCTCCCTCTGGCCGCTGGCACTGTGAGGACACACCCAGCTGGAGGCAGCCTCTCCATGGACTACCTACCTTTGTTTCAGAGGCCCAAGGACCCAAAAGGCGGTCAGACACCTCGGCCTCTTCCTCCTAAGCTCACTGCGCGTTCCTGACCACCTAACGGCCGCGCAGCTGGCAGACTCTCCTGAACGAACCTCTGCCCCTCTGGCCAATCGCTCTCAAAACATGCTCAGACACCGTCCAAAACATCTCTCAAAGGGCCACTCCCATCTCTGCCTGGCCTTTTGGACAGACACAGCATAGCCAATGTTCGGGTCTGCACAGAAGAGCCAGCAGAGCAGGCCTGAGGCCTAGGAAGGGCTGCCTGCAAGGCTGGCCCAAGACTAGAGTCGGGGAACTTGATTTCATAAGGTTCCCATGGTTCCCTGACTGCTAAGGATGGTTCACTGGGCCCAGACTGTACAAACAGCGTGGTTTAAAACACTGCTTTCCTTCTGGGACTCAAGGATTTGGGGACGTGCTAGGCAGAGGGGGCCTACGTGGCCAGCCCCCAGTGAAAACCCTGGGCGCAGATCCCCAGCGAGCTTCCCCCGGAAAGAACACTCCGCACAGGCTGCCACGACTCACTGCTGGAAGAATTAAGTACGGCCTGTGTAACTCCACCGGGAGGGGGTGCTAAAGCTTCTCTGGGTTTCCTGGGGGGCTTGGCCCACATCTGAGCCTTTTGCTGATTTTGCTGTGTCCTCTTGCTGTAATGAATCACAGCTGTGAACACAACTCTACACTGAGTCCTGGGAGCGTTCCTAGCAAGTTGCTGACTCTGCGGTGGTCTTAGGGATCCCAACACAGGGTCCCACTACACTTCCCAACAGGACATGAGCGCTGCAAGGGCTCAGAGGGCGCCCCACCTGACACCTCCGACAGGGAGGCCTCACCACCCGGTCTGGCCCCAGCTCTGCAGCCTCACCCCCCCACTGCGTCCACAGCCACCTGCCTCGCTCTGTCCTCTGCTCCCCTCCACTCCTCCCGCTACCCCCTCTTCCTTTTCTGCCTTCTAGAGTCCTAACCCCAGACAGGCTCGGGAAGCCCAGGGCTTGGGGAGCAGGGAGACACTTTGGTCACGGAGTCCGCATCTAAGCTACAGACTTGAGATGGAGTAAAATTTGGTTTTAAGGCAGGACAAGAAAATTTAAGCATAATACACTCCCTGCCTATATTGGGCCCTCCCTAATGTGCAATGTGTATCTGCATTAGACATTAACCAGACTGCAAAGGCAGGAATGTCTGCTCCACCATAAAAATCAATGTTTTTGTTTTTTCCCCCTTCTTCATTCTTTTCCCTAATTCTGTAAGAGGTCATGGTGACCAGCTGCTCACTTCGTATGTGTAGATCTGGATAGTGTATCTTTGGTGAACGTTATATACAATCGTCAGGGTGCTATTCTTTTTTTCAGGGTGTCATTCTGATGAATGATCCTTTGTCTCTAAAATGTATATAACTGTGCCTTCGATCTCTAACAAGCAGAACAGTTCTCAGTTTTCTGAAAGACTCTCCTGGGTTATAACCCTCATATTGGCTCAAACAAAATTCTCTGTTTTTCCTTTAGATGAACTATTGGTTAATTTTTTTAGACACTTGGGAGCTTCAGACTTGTCCCAACAGGTCCAGGGCACAGACACTGCCAATGGGCTGGGCACACATGTTCATAGATGTTATTGTGTGAATACGGGTATGTCCTTTAAAGGCAATACTGAATTTATTCTAAAATAAACGGAAAGACCACAATCTAAGGTTTTCAACATTCAGAAAGAGGGTCACAGAGTCAAAAGGGTTGGAAGCCCCACTCTCTTACTGTTACAGTCAAGAAAAAGTGCAGAGGGGGCAGGAAAGCGCCGAGAAGTTATAATTACTTCTCTCTTTTCTTTTAAACATTTAAATATCTATTAAACTCCTAGTATGACAAATACATTAGAGCAAAGTCAGTGTCCCCAGAACCTGGAAACAAGTCAAACCAAGCCGTGGGGGAAAGATCTGCCTCCTGGACGGGGCCTGGGGCTGGGGGACAGGGGAGTCTGGAATGCCCAGGTCCTGGCCTGCGGACCTGTCAGGGAGGCTAGACGGCAGGCCAAGGGGTCGGAGCCGGGTTACTGCTGCCCAAAGACAGACAGCGCCAACGCTGAGGCACTGTTATCGTGGACCAAGTCTAGAGGATACTGTGAGGGCAAGAATTTGCCTGGGTGTCCCCGGCCTTGCCCAGGTGATGCGAATGTCTGTCCTGTACCGCAGGGCTCTTCCTAATGGCAATGGATGCTTCAGGCCATCCTGGCTCCACGATGCCAGCTGTCAAGCTCATCCTGCAAACCTCTGTGCTCCAACTCCATGAGCTGGGCTCCCAGAGCAGGTGTCACGTTAGGTAGTCAAAGACTCAGTCAGCCAACACACAGTTCCAGTTTGACTGTTTGCTCTATTTTTCACTGTAAATTAAGGAATTGGCATATTCTCATTTATCTATTTGTCCTGTGTGAGTCTGGTGACAGTAGGTCGATTCCCCTGAGAACTGTAAGCTGGGGGTGCACTGACCAACACCAGGCTCTGCACCTGCAAAACAACAGTTCCGCCCAGAACACCCCCATTTTATAGAAGGCCAGTAAGAAGAGACGAGTTGGGACGGTCTTGGAGGCAATTTCTTCTCCGCCTTCTGGCAGTTCCACACAGAGCTGGCTCAGCAGGTCCAAGTTAGCTCAAGGGAAGGACATGCTGACACCAGTTACTGAGCTACGGTGGAGGGGGGGGGTGTCCACCTAGCACAGCCCTTCCCCAGCCTCTCTAGGGAACACCAGCCACACTGTGAACTAACACCAGCCCGCACCCCTCCCCATCGGAGCGAGACCTGGGGATCCCAGGGACATCCTCTGCATGTGCGCTTTCCTCCACACACTGCATTAATATGTGTATCAGGTGCACAGACCCCTGGCCAGCCTCCCAGCTCCATCTGCCTCTCCCTCTCCCCCTCTAACTTCAACACCCACAAGGATGCACTGAGATTTTGGTGCCCCTTCTGCTATGCTGGACTGTGACTATAACCAGTCATCAGATCAGTAAACTTTCACTTCTTAGAAAATTATTATTACCCAGTAAAGTTTGTAGAGATAGAACATGAGGGTATCTACAAAAAGAATTCCCATTCCCAGTAACCTCTAAATAAAATCTGAACATCTAACAAGATTTCTAAGGCGGTGGTGGTAGGGGGGTGAGGGGAGGGTCTTGAGTACAAATAAATGATCCTATAGCCACTGGTAAATGGCAGAGTCCAAACAGCATGGTCGTGGCTGGAGCAGGCAGTGGAAAGAGCAAGGGCCCAACAGAGCCAAGTGGTACTTTGCTGTTGGAGAGTTAGCTCAAGTCACAGGCAGCTTCTTTGTTTAGAAAACTGGGTGAAAAATACTCTGTGTCCTTCTCTTCTCCCATCAGAAGTTATTTATAACCTAACAACTGAAAAACAACAAAAGTTCTTTTAGGTTCAAATGATTTACTTCACAGTTTCCTTTTAATTGGGATTGATTTTCTCACCTCATCTTGGATCTACTAAATCATGATTATGTTCAGTGCTTTCAGAGCCCAGAATTCGACATTTCAAGCTTCCCAGGTGATTCTGACACAGTCTAAGTTTAGAATCACAGGGTGCGGTCCAGTCACGAGCTGGAGACTGGGCAGAACACACCCGGCCTGCCGGAAGTGAAAATTACTCGGGTGAACAGGACCCTGCCCTCTCCCCAGGGGCCAGCTGTCCTCGCAGCACGTTTGGGAACTAGAAATCACAGACGACTGCTGTACCCCTTTAAGGAGCAGAGGATACAATGCCAACTTCCACTCAAAACAGGGGAGCTCTTCAATTTCTACTTGAATACCTACAGCAATGAGGGGCTCACCAATCCTATCGCCGGCCTCACCCGGCAGCTATGTACTGGACACACCAAAGGGCAGAGTATGGGGCTTTGGGTTTGACCTCAGGAGCCAGGCTGCTGGAATTCCAATCCCTGCTTTGCTTCGTATTTGCCGTGGGCTTGGCAAACTCACTGATAAAACCAGGATCATAACAACCTCTCTTGTAGGGATGTTGTGAAGATAAAATGAATTAACACAGGAAAAGTGCCTGGAACAGATGCTGGGACAGAGTAAGTGCTAAGACTCCTATTACTGCAGCCAAATCTGTCTGCATTAACGTCCACCTGCAGGTCACAGCCTGGCACCTCCAGTTGCACAAACAGGCTCTTGCACACACTATTTCTGACCCTGAGTGCCTCTTTATCTCCCGGCTAAATATACCAGCTCTTTTAGACATCCGGAAGGGATGGTTTCCAGGCCATTCACCACCTCAGCCCCAAGATAAACTCTTCTGTGACAAAGTTCTCATACAACGGGAATGGGAACTGGCTGTGGCCAGGGTAGAGGGTTCCATCAGTAGTGTTCCTCTATCCAGAAAAAGAAGGGGAAGAGTGAGGAGTGTGTGTGTCTGTGCACGTGCCCAAGAGGGAGGGTGCCGGCACGATGTGAAAATGCTCAGGCCACAGACACGCGCCTTAGGTCCTTCCGAGAGCAGACCCACTCTGCCAGCGTTCCTCAGGCTCGGGCTTCCAGATCAGACCCTGAACCTTGCTGCCTCCACCTGTGGGCTGTGCTTCCATACCCTGGGCCTTTGGGAGTGGCACTGGAGATGAAGACAGGAGGCCTTTCCTCTTCCTCTCTGACTGTGACCTACCACTCCCCCAGGCCACTCCTGGCACCTTCTCCATGAAGCTACTTGGTGTGAGGACACACCCCAGAATACAAGAACTGAAAGATCAGTGGTCCAACCCCTCATTTCTTAGAAGAGGTAACTGTGGTATAAGCAGGCCTGAGCATGAGGCCAGTGGACATATCTGAGCCACAGTGTCCTTGCGCTGCTTAACTACCCGACCAGATCTGCAAAGGAGGTTGCCCCTGCTCCCACAACATCCAATCTGCCTGGCTTCTCCCTTGCCCCTAGGACCTTCAGGGCATTAAGGACACCAAGGTCCTGGCAGAGTGCTGCTCTGCCTGGCCACAGACTGCCCCAGACATTGTCCAACACCACCACTCCCCTCTCCTGCCCTCAAACCATGGGGTCTACAGTTGCCTGAGGTCGGCCCAAGCTCATGAGTGACCACAATTACAGAACTGGTTCCAGGGGCCCACCCAGACCGCTGGGTACCATCATATTTCCTAGTACCTTCACAGTCGCGTGCACAACTTGCCCCAACTGGTCCCAGGCTACAACAGATGGGGGCTCTCTCTCCAGCTCTCAGATCTACACATTTTACGTAATGGATAAAACCTGGGACCTTGTTCCATGCCCCCTGCCCCGGGTCCAGGATCCTATCAAGAAAAGCAACTAACAGATATAACTCATTCCTCTTGGGCCTTCATTCCCACCTCTCCCAGGATAATTTATAACTGAAAGCCACGCCGAGGGAGACTGATGCTTAACCCAAAGGAACGGGTTTCCAAAGGTGAAGAGAGCCTCCAAATACGTGCACACTTCGGGGCTGGGAGGGGGGAGTCCGAGGACCTGGAAATCACCGCACCAAATCCTGCGCACCAGCACCCAACCCCCTTCGGCCAGGCGCAGTCGGATCCCAAACTTGGCGGGTCCCGGGCTCGTCCCCGCCCCCAAGGCCCGTACAGCGCCGCGCGGAGCGGAATTGCCTAGGCGTCCGTCAGTCCAGCCGTCCCCCCCCAGCTCGCAGCGGGGTCCCAGCTCGAGGCGATGTCCGGGCTCGCCTTACCTGGCGCGCCATCCCGGACTCAGCC